TATCAATAGTGATAAAGGAAGTGAACAATTTAAAAGTCCTCGATCTGTGTCTAACTTCATCAAAGATTCGACTTATTATTCCATAATAAATGCAAGGCTTCGTTATAGTTGCTGAAATAAATTAGCGCCTGGCTAAATATTTGGATTTTTGCCTTATTACTGGTACAATAAACTTTTTTTCAAAAAGTTATTTGTTAGTGAACTTTTTGTCTTGAATTCTGTTTAGCAACATAATTTGTAGTATTATTTAATGAAGTACTATCCACGGACGCATCTGAAATATCTTCGCTACTACTACTACGAATGTCACCCTCCATCTGTAAAATTACATACACATATATAAAATTGAAAACATTTTGCAATGAATTTAATGTGAATTTATTATAATATGACTTACTTGACCAGCATAGAAAGCGTTGTATGCGATTTTAAGAATTAGGTATGTCCACATCATATGGAGGAATAATAATAAGATTAAAAGAGAATTAAAAATATAATATGCTGGAAACATTGGAACAATCTTAGGTGCTTCTATTGATGTGCTGTAAAAAACAATGTAATTATCAGATCAAAAGTAATTCAAATGACTCTTCGCTATATTGGTACAAACCTATAAATTATCCAAAATGGATAAAAACCAGTACGTGTAATAATCCACAGAATCGTGAAAATACCAAAAATACAATCACATAATTTTTGGTAATTAGCATATTTAGTCATCTTTGCAGCCTGAAATAAATAAGTGCACAAATGAACATATAAATTAAAAATTGTTGCTCATATGTTTATTCACCTATCTAATACTTACTTCTAGAAAAATATCTGCACAATCGTGCACCAATAATACTAAGGATCCAATTCTGGTCAAGTTCCCAACCCAAGAAAAGCACATTAATATAATTGTAGCTATATGATGAATAAACATTGGCCAGAAATCTTTCCTTTTGACATCAAAGAACTGAGAGAAACTTAAAGACCAATAAAATGCCATAGATATCATATAGTACCACCACATATCATCAGTAACTGGATGATATGGATAATTATAATAACAGTACTTGATATCCCATAACCATGGTTTATTCCATAAAATTATAACACCATAAATGAAAGAGTAAGTGTAATATAAACACCTCCAGCTGTAAGAAAAATGTATTTTAAATGCACTAGATAATTTATGTAAAATTTTTAGTTGTAATAAACTCAAACAATGTAATACTGACCTATTTTCACAGAACTTTGTAAGCGTTGATGGTTTGTCCTGAGCTCGTCTCAATCGTAACCATCTTTCTACTTGTCGTTCAGACCAATCTAGTTGCTTAGCCAGTGCCAGAATCTTAAAATACATCCAATTACAAAAAGAAATCCATAATATTTAATTTCTCAGCTATCCTGACTTAGATTACACAAATCTATTTCAATAACCTAATATTAAACATAGAATTTTTAAAACACAAGTTTTTCTTGCATACTATTGAACATTACTTTTCAATAACTACATACTAAACTGATATTCACTTTCATTTAACATGTGAAACCACAAATAAAATTTGATTAGTGTAATCTATATATGAACTATATTGAAGCATACTATACTTACTTGTGTAGTAGTTTTAACTTTTCTACAAATATAAGCTTTCTCTAAAATATCATTAGACGTTGCTTTCTTTGGCCTTGTATTTTTTATACCAAGGGATTTCCCAAATGGTCCGAAACAATACCTAAAGTAATAGCCATAATTTAATACAATTGAATCAATAATATAACATCGAACACATTGGGCGGTGTGCATAAAGGCAAGTACTCTTTACTTATGCACATTTGAGACATCCAAGAGTGTTGCGAACATCCAAATTATATGAAACGTTTGCTTTTTATACAGGAAATGTTCTACTAAAGAGTTCTAATCACTGATGTCACATACGGGATCTCTTTGTGATCCCAGGTTCTGTTAAATATATCAAAAAATCTGAAGGTTTCTTCGTTAGAAAAAAACAAACATTTGAACCACCAGATAAATATAAATAATATTAAGATTTTTCAATATTTACAGCCTAGTACTAGTCAAAAATTATGTGTGAGAGAAATCTATTATTTGTTTTTTCTTATATTTGATATATATAAGTATTTACTTATTTTTTTGCATACAGTTTTTTAACAGCATGGATATGTATGTGCACTGACTTATATATACCATTACTACATACCATACTTGTATTTGTAATCTAATTGTCCCAACATATTCGCAATTTAATTCAACAAAGGATTTCGATGAAAAGAACATTTCACGCAAAGCTGAACACTATTAATTAAATAAATGTGGTATAACCTTAATCGAAAGGAATCTCCAAAATTCCATGCAATAAGGATGAAATAAGAAAAAACGTATAGTTAGTAGAACGATCATTACCTTTCGAAGGCGAACCTGATGACCAGAAGAATTAGTGCCATAGGCAAAGGATAAATTAAATGTTGATAATTTGCATATTTGTTTTCTGGAGTCGGTTTGATATCTTCCCATGTTATATTAGGCGGTAACCAAATATCGGTCGACCAAAAAGCCGACGACACATTGTTTAATATGTTCATTGTTCGAACTTCTGCAATTATTCGTTTACATTTAATTGTATGTTTATCGATTGTTCGGCAAGGAGATTATTAAACAGGAATGATCGAACGAATATGTACCCACTCAAAACGTCTTTATAACGCAAACTTCTAACTACCTTCCTGCTAGTATGTGCTATGTAGTACTTACACGCCACCGGTCGAAGACTGCGCCCGTGCTTTGGATGTAACGTCGCTCAACTTTTTTCCCCTGATAATTAGTAATTACAGTCAATCCTGACTTGGAGTGACAATAGAACGCACTGCGTTAATTATTTTCTCTTCGAATCTCTTACAAATCTAACCATTGATCATGCATTCAATTGTACGCTAGTGAGTATTTTACTATATACATACACGTTGCTGCTGCACAATAACGTATACTTTAGTTATACAATCAGCATGTATACGTACATTAGGCACGTTGCAACCACTCGGATGATAAATGTTTTGCAATGTAATGTATTGATTATATCTAATTAAATTGAAATTGTATTACATTCTTGAAAACATCGTTTTAACGACATTAAAACTTTCATTTTGTAAGCATAAAATAATGACCAACAATACAATGAACAACCTTGATCTTAAAACTCGTCCCATTTGTGTTTTATTTATAACTACTTTGAGTTAAAAAATATACACTGCGTATAAATGTTTCTACTTTATTGGTTTGACCTTGA